CAGATGTCCACAAGAAGATTGATGGAGAAAAGAAATTGCTAATTGGGTTGCAGGTGGTGAAAATCTTTTCTAAAGGTGCGTGTGTGTATAGTGTTTAGATGGATTCTTAAGTTTATATTGAACTTGAAAGTGAAGATTGACTAGATTACCTACATGAAATACTTAACAAGTGAGCCAGTTTCTGTCTTAATTCTGTAGTTCCACACATAGGTATAAACTCACTGTTCTTTCTCTAATATGTGAATATGTAAAGTAGAGTCTGTGAAGGCCCAGAAGAAACCTGGATATATGGTCATCAACTCAGGCTTGAAACTCACAGTGACCTCACCACCATGTCTGGATTTGTGTTTAACACTGATTTAAGATTAATTTCCTGTTTCAGATTTACTTTGTCATCTACCTAGCCTATTATATTATATTATATCATATTATATATCTTTCTTTCTAATCTTTTGTTTTAATCTTTGGGGGTAAGGGGAGCAGAATAACAATAAAACAAAATCCAAAACTCCAGAAAGCTATGGGATCTGCCTGAGATTTGAAAGAGTGAGATAGGAGTCTACTCCATGTATACATAATTTCTCTTCTTCTGCATCACCCAGAAACATATGCTGCATAGGGACACAATCAAAGACTGGCTCTGACCTAGGCACGTGGGTATTGACTATGATTCCAGGTATTGGTTTTCTATCCTTCGTTGTTGGTATGCATGAATCTGGGGACACAGACTCAGTAGAGTTGGAGGAAAGGGATTTTTTAATAACCAGGAAGGAGCATGTGCACTAGATAGATTTTCTTAGGTATCTGCAAACATTTTAGAGCTATTGATTGTAACTAGATGAACTCTACACTTCCCTCAATGCAGTTCTGGGTCTTTCTCTAGCACCTTTTACACATTCCATATTTTGTTAGACTCTTTGCCATGTTTTGGTTCCTGACTTAATTTTAATCAGATAAAATTTAAGTTATTATAACAGAATGAGACAAATTTAGAATACAGGGTTTTAAACTGATCGCTGTAGTTGGAAAGTATTAGAAACAAGTGAGAAAAAGTTAGGGCTTCTTTATGCAGTGATAGCTGTATCATCTATTTAGCTCAGCAATAACATTGGGCTTATACCGATATGTGTTTATGAATGTATAATTTGGACATCTGGGATTTTATTGTACATAAACATCTTCTACCTTTTTAAAATTCAGTGTTCTATCTATAATCCTTTACCATTACAAATTCTTTAAAAAATTGTGATTCTTAATCTTTTGTGTTGACACATCCTAATCTTTTAATGTTTTTAACTATGCTAGGAAAAAACCCAAAAACCAAATACAAACCCTTCAAAACAGTCCACCTCAGAACAAAACATCTTAGTTCTCTTGCCAAGTTAATGAAGGAATATTGGTTTTTTAAATCATATTACACATGCTTTAAAATCTTGGTTATATTTCTTCCTTGAACAATACTATCTGAGAGCATCATCTCCCTATGTATTCAGCAGATCATTAGTCGTGTTGGGTAAAAGGCATTATGTAACATAACGCCAAATGAGATTGGGAAATTCTAGTCTAGATTGAACAGACTCCACCCTCTCCAGTCCCTAGGATTTCTTAGAGCTATAATTGCTAATGCACGTTGTGGATCTCTGGGAGGTATATAAAGTATACAGTTTCCATTAAACTTAATTTGACCAAGGAACCTCCTTTTATTTTATTTTTTTTGGAAGCTAATATCATTAGAAGAATGTAGAGAAAATTCTTGTACTTCTTGTCATGTGTGTTTAAACAGTTACCATATTAAACAGGTGGACTTTAGCTCAACTTGGGAGGAGCAGAGGCAGAATGTTCTGAAGTATCATAGTGGATTGAGAAAAGAAAACGCTCTTATTGCTGAAGCTTTCTAAGCCTGTTACCCAAATTATGAATGGATTCTGTGTTTATTTTATAATATTTTTCCATGTCTAAAACTTTTCTCATCCTAGAAGACAGGAAAAAGTGCTTCAGTCTATCTTACTACCAGAAGTTGCTTTCAAGTATAGGTTTTTTTGTTTTTTTTTAAAAAAAAGATCAATTTTCTTTGGAAAATTTCATAGTACTTAACTAAAGTGAACAATGACTCCAGTGTGTATGTGTTTATAATTTGTTTTTATCAGGAGGAGAAATGATGGTAAGTGAGTTAAATTAAGCAGTTGGCATGAAATAGGGTGATATCTGACCAAAATTTTCTATCAATAGTGTATGCTTATTTACAGTATGAAAGTCATGTATCAGTATCAGTCCCATTTATTAATTTAAATGGAATTAAAAAAATACACACAGAACAAAGATCCTTGGCCTGTTGAAACCTATGTATATTGACACTCTGAACTTATTTCTAAATCCTTTTTGTTGCGGGAACGTATGTGCTGACTCATTGTGATGTTTGTGCCTTAACTGTTGAATGTTTCCCGTGGTTTGATCCTTAGTACATTGGTAGTGGTGAGCACAGTGGTTTGTGAGTTACTTCCTAGTTTCATGAAGAAGAACTGTTGCATAGGAAGGCCCAAGATTACTTCCCTTCATTTTGGAGAAATACACACACACACACACACACACACACACACACACACACACACACAGAGTACATTGACAGTATAAGTTCTCAATATGTCTTCACATTTGTTTTAATCTTATATTCAGGTTGGCACTCTTAATAATAATGACAATAATACAACACCTTGCCTAATACACTTGGCTTACTGGTGCTCTAAAGACAGTGAATATTCTAATTGAAGTATGTTATTTTCACGGTAAGCATCCATTAGATTCACTATACTATCTATGTGTGTCAATTTAGCAAATGGATTTGTAGTATTGACATGCAAATATCTTATGAGAGAACTAAGCCAATTATATTGGCGGATGGACTTAATAATTGAGATTTTTCTTTTCTATTTTATAATAGACTGGAAAACAGAAAAACCAACATCAATACATAAAAATTAAACTACCTTTAGTATACAAAGATATTTTTGGCAAATTCTGGGAAGATAGTCCGAGGCATTTCTACAAAGCACACCACTTGCTCTTTTTGTTATCCATGAAAATCTAATTTACATACAATAAAATGTCAATTCGCATCATAACCATCAAGATAAATAGATATATTTATACTCTTTCAGAACTCCAGTGCTATGCTTGGCTATTTTCCCAGGGATGGGTTGAAATATTCTAAGTTTAACAAAGAAGTAAGAGATGAAGTTGAGACTGGCCCATGTGCAAATGTAAAGTCAGATTGGCCTGTCTGAGTCAACAGTTGCCATTATAGATATTTTAATTTTTTTTTCCTTTGAGAGGAAATTGAAAGAAAAACTACATATGTACGGGGAAATGAATGGTAATGTTTCTTAATTTGCATAGTGAAATTGTGATGTTATTTAAGTCAGAGTTTTTAATACATTTGCCTCTCGCCAATTATGAAAGGAAAAATAATCAATTTCCCTTTCCTTTAGATAATCCATGATGTATACTTGCTTTATTTTAGTTATCCCATTTAGTGAAATAGGTACCTGCTTCATGTTTTCCAGCTATATTTTACAGTGTCTTTTACACTTCTAGCATAAAGCATTTGAAGGAAAATGAAAAGTTTTGTAATTGTCTTATAAAAGTAAATGGTTAATGAAATTTTTTTTCTAACGTGTACATGGATATATGAAGACCCAGTTTGGCAAATAGGACATAATTACTTACCACACTATCTCCTTTTACCTAGACAAGGGCATTTGAAATGAGATATTTAAAATATAGAGAACATAGCATGATGAAATAAAAGCCAAATAAAATGTGTTTGGGCCAGCATCAAAACTCTTTGAAATAGGATATCTAAATAGTGTGCATTTTATCTCAGAGAGGCTTGGGTTAGTTCTAATGTCCAGATGACTATTAATGGGCTTTGTGCTCTGAAGCATATGTTAATAGAAGTGATCATTTTGGATTAATTTGATGTGAATTAATAAGAGATTTATTTGATGGGAGTTGTTTGAAGGTGATGACATTTAAATCTCAACGGGATTTAAGATGTCCAAAATTACCTTTAAAGAATCAGGAACAGTCATTTCAGAGGGCAAATTAAATAGAAATGGATAGCAAAGAACAGGATATGACATTGAGTTTATGAAGTTTGAAGCAGTTTACAAAAAAAAGTGATCTACCATTGAAGTATTGCCCTGGAATCTAAAGAAATAGAAGACATTTAAACTCTTTCAGTAATTCTTGGGTTTGTGAATTGGATAAACAATGTTCTCTTGCATTTTATAGTTCACTTAAGCAATCTGATTTTGATCTGTATATATGGAGGAGACAGGATTCAAGTGTTTTTTTTTTTTTCCTTCTAAACCAACGAGAAAACACATATGTTCTTTAAAAACTGAACTTTTATGTATTGTTCATATGGAAGCTATCTAGTTTGCTATAGGCCTGAGACTTGACCTTCCTTTTATTTCGCTATCACTTGCTTAATTCTTTAAATACTTTGTGGGGACTTTTGATCAAAAGAAACATTTTGCTATTTTTTTCTTCCTTTAAAATATTTTTTCTAAAAGCTTCATGAAATGTATAAATAATAACAAAATTTTCCTGTGCTGATGATACAAGCAAGCATGGAAGAAAACATGTTTATTAAGAAGCCCATCATGACTTTTCTTTTTGTGTTAAGTGTTAATTTCAAACACTTGAAAGTTTTATTATCCGGAAAAACAAAAAGAAAATGTCATCTGGTATTACATATTATGAAAATAAGAACTGCTACTTATAATAAAAATCATGCTCAGAGGTATTTGAAACTGAGTTCAAATTACACAATCTTGCCCCTCCCCTTTAATTTTTTCCAGTCTTTTCTGGATGTATATATACACACATATATTCATATATATACACATATATTCATATATATGAAATAATATTTTGAAAGATACTCAAAAGTCTTAATTTTCTTTGAAAATGAAGAGTTCCTTATAATCATTTTCTTTAATTTGAAACAGATCCTTTTTTCTTAAATGACATCTAATAAAATTAAAATCATTATACTTAATGTATCTGGCAAATAGCTGATGCTGGATATATATTTATTGAATGAGTGAATGTTGGGGGAAATGAATAACTGAGTAAAGGATAGGCATCAGTGGTGTTTAGACCACTTTTGGTACTCAGTGGTTTAATATTTTATAGTCTTTCAACAAAATTGGACAAAGGTTTTCTAAGGTAAACCTGAAATTCCATTACTAAGGACCATTATAATATTACAGAGGCAGGAGGAAGTTTAAAAATGATTTAATTCCCTCATTATACCGATAAGAATAGAGGTTCAGAGAAGCAAAGGGACTTGCCCTTGATCACATCAGCAGGTGATTTGAATTAGATCCAGAAACTGGACACATGATTTCCATACTATTCTTCTTCCTTAGGTTTTGATTCTTTACTGTGTTTAGGGTCAAGATACTACAAAGAACATAGAATTCACATCTCTTACCTTCAAAGAGTTTCTCATCTATTGGAAATAAACCATAGTTTTTATCTGCATTTGGATGATGTATAATCTAAGCTCCATAAATTACTGTAATAGTTGATTATTTCTTTGGTTAAATAATTTATTTGATTATCTATTGCAAGGTTATCTGGTGTAAGAATATTTCATAAATGTATGTGTGTATATATTTATATGTATAGTTATGTATTTTCTATAACTATACATACACATATGAAAAATAACCAAATTATATGTGGACAATTCACAATATCTAGGTAATAATAGAAAACTAAAATCCCTTTTGCTGTGAGAGTGCCCTCCTGAGATTGTGATTCAGTCTTCTATAGAAGAATTTTTTCCTTATATATGTAAGTGAGAAATAGTAGTTATCAGAATTTAACCTCTAATGCTGATTATTTCCACTGTATAAATCGGTCTAAATGATACTATAACATAGAACTAGTGCACTCTCCTGCTTTTTAATAATAGCAAATGCTTTTGCTAAGAAACCAAAGAAAGCTTTTAGATTTGTTTCAATTTAAAAGGAAATATAGTTAATTAAGAGTAGAAATGCATAATTTTTGCAGCTGGAATGTCTTATATCTCAACAATGAAAATTAACACAAATAGAGCATTTTGGGGAAGCTGACTATATTTCTAACCTATATATCTTGACATATAATATGCATTCATATTATATGGGCTTTTAAGGAGCATTTGTGTATTTGTATAGGTGGAGAGTAATATAAATGTGGACCTGCTCACTATTACCCCCAAGAGGACAATTATTTACCTCACAATTAAATAGAGGACTTAAATTAGCAATTTTGAGCCTTATAGCTCTTGTTTAAATTCTTCAACTCCTTTTGTCCAATCATTTCTAGCCCCATTGTCTAAAATGGCAGTTTAGAATGGACCTACCTTAACTGGCATTTTGAACTTTTTTCTTTTTGTGGTCTGTACGATGATTATTGCTACGTAGTAGACTGATCAAGTTTAAAATAGAGTTGCCAAGACTGATGACTTTGATTCATTGATGTGATTAAATGTTTTAACAGTTTAAAATTTTCCCTATAAAAGCCATTGCTGGTATTTACAAATTAAGAACTCTCCCCCCTAATGTAGGTAAGTATTATAGTCATTAAGGTTGAGGGTGTTTTAGAGGTTAAATAATTTCATCAACATCGTAGTCTGTTATGGAAATGACTTCTTGTCCTAAAATCTTTTATATCATGTTCCTCCTTCTCTGTTGCTTTATTAAAACCCAGGGGAGGGAAAGGATCTTGCTCAAGATCTGCTCATTCTTTTATCAGATATCTTTCAAGCAGCTTATGGTGCTGGCATATTAATGTATTTTAGGTGTGAAACATGAAGGTATGTTTACATCATTTAGGAAGGAAAATATTTTTTTTGCTTTGTTTTGCAGATGTACAGATCAGCTCTCAAAATGTCTTCTGTGTCTTCCGAACGTCTTCTAAGACAATTGCATTAGCCTCCTGCTAGTTGACTAATAGAATTAATAATTGTAAAAAGCACTCTAAAGCCACATGCCTTATGAAGTCAATGCTGGGTATGATTTTACAAGTATGTGATCTATTTTTTCAAGTGAAAATGTTAACTGGAAAAGTTCTTGGCACACAGTAAAACATCGTGCAATCTGTTATTTGTCTTAGAGATAATAACTTGAGGGTGGCTATGGTCTTAACGGTATCTAACTTATGACTTGCTAGGGGAGTTTCTTCCACTTGGAAGTATTGCAAATGTGCTTATATTTACATAATATGTCACTCTGAAAAATTATGATGATATCGTTCCAGTAAAAAATTATTTTTTCTATAGCTACTTCAAAGTAGAGTCAACTAAATTAAGCAGGATTTTTTAAAAACAGCAACCAAGGAGAACATGCCCCTGCCTCCACAACAAAAATTAAAACCCAAATGACCTTTTTGATACTTCTTTGAAGTTTTAGCAGTTTAACATTCTTTGCAATGTATATTATTAAGTGCTCTATTCAACATAAGGAGTCAGTGAGTCATATGCATTCTAAATGTCTGTTGAGTGGAAGAAGGAACTGAAATTTGAAAAGATGATAATCTAATTAAATCATAGTTTCTTTCAGGCACTAAAGATGCTGGTTGAGTAGTTTTTAACTATGACCCATTACATCTCTTCATAATAACAATAAATCAGCAAGATCTAAAACTTCCTTTGTTCTGAAAAATATAAGTTTTTTTCAATATTAATGTATCTAGATCTATATTCACTTTTAGGTATTTTATCTTCATTCCTTTGCTATTTAAAATATTTCCATTTTTATAATCACCTTGACATTAATATATGAGGATAAGCCATTTCCTCTTCATTTTGATGGAAGGATAACCTTAATGAATTGAATTATTTCTTTCTTATTTCTTCATGAGTCCTGCTTTTCCATATAGGATTTTTTATCTTTTTCATGTAACTATATTGAATTCATTTAGGTGAGTCATTGCTATATTCTAGTTATATTAAGGAGATGGTCTAATACAAATGATATAGTTATTCAGTATTTGTCCAAGGAAAGATTTTATTATAAATAGTTACTAAAGACATTATGTGTAATGGCAAAAATAATCAGGAAATTCTGGAAGGAAAGGCAAGAGATCTGTATCAAGCCATCACATTTTTATATGTGGCAATGTCTCATTTTCTGTAACCTAGAATGTATTTTTACTGTAGGCCAAGTGAAAACAGTGTATATTTTGCTTAAATTTATATTTTTAAATAATTTCTTTAGCATCCCTATTCTTTTTTTATTTTCCTTTTTTAAATTTTTCTCTTTGTTGGCTACCAGTAAAATTTCCCTCAGTTCTATGTGTTGTTACACCCTCCCAAGGCTACTTTAGTCACTTCTGACAGAGGAACAGAGGACTCCTAAAGTGTTGAAATTAACAAATAAGAAATTGAAATGCAAACATTAAAAAAATTAACTGGTGTTTCCCTTTTTAACGATGGTTACCCAGCTTAGTTGATTTTAGGGCCTGATGGAATGACACCAAGGTGACGTGCATGTTTCCCTTCCCTTCTCATAGGAGGCCAGGCAGGTTTACATTGCCCCATGAACATCACTTGCATTTGAAACTTTAGTCTTTCTTCCTATATATATATGAATTTGTTTTTTTGTTCAATGAGGGAGATGCTATGGATATTTGATAACGTTATTGGTGTATAAGAACAGTGTGCTGTCTTAAGTACAATTATACTGTTTTTGACATTTTCCGTAAAGTGAATTTTTACCTTGTAAATGATTCCTTATATTCTAACTGGTGCATTATCCTTGTTCAGTGATTCATACTATAAAAATTTTGCTTGACCAGCTTTTCAGAAGCAAAGGTACACCCGTATATACAAAGCCAGTATGGTTCCTCAGCACTTGCGAGAAATTATAGATGAAAACAGCGAAACCATGTTATTAATTTGGATTTTCTCAGCGCGTTTTGGATAATTGTGGTGTAACTAACTCTGTTAAATCGGTCCTTATGGCAGAGTTGGCTAAAAGAAGGCTTGTTTTATTAGAACGTAACAGGTGGAATTTTCCAAGAGACATGTGGGGTGATGACTTAAAAAGCACTCGCCAGTTTCTCAGCTAAGTGATTAAGGAACACAGGCCACAGAATGGAACCCAGTCCTTGACTAGCCTTCACTAATGCAGCCTTTTATTGACACAATGCAAATTGTTTCCTATTTCTCTATATTCTTAGAGTTCTGACTCATTAGACCCTAGTAGAAGAATTTGTTACAGCATTCGTCTTTTGGCCTCAGTCACTGATGCCACTAATTTGCTTGAAAGGCACAGTTGAGCCAGCATGTTAAAGGTAAACCATAGGAAATTGTTAATATTTTGCCATTTGGAGCAAAACAATGACAATGTCATATGGTTCAACTTAATATTTCACTCTAGTCAATTTTCAGTGCTCCTGATGGTGGAAGTGGTACTATTTTCACCAGACTATATGTCTAGAAATCTGGGGCTTAGTTAGGTTCCCCATTATGCTGGATGGAGCCCTGGTAAAATCTGACCTGACCTGTGATGCACACCAGGTCCTCCTCCTAATTTTCAGGCAAGTTCCACGTGCAGTTTAAAGAAATTTATTGGTAGATCAGAAATGAAATATTTGTTATGGTCCCTTTCCTGAAAGTAATGGGGCAGTTTTCACTCTGTTTATAACATGGCTGTTTGTCTTTTTGAATATTAGGATGTTTTGGCTGAAACTATATTTATATTCTGGTTGCACAGTATAACAATATTGAATTTCAATTTATATCATTTATATATACATATACATATCATATAAATAAACATGTAACATATATTCTATAAACATAAACATATATTTTATAAACATGTGTACATGCTATGTATAACATATAACATGTGTATATATATATAACATATAACATATATAAGCATGTGTGTGTGTGTATATATATATATGTATATATATATTGTTGACTGTAACTGAAGGAAGAAATCGGGCAAAAATGTAATTGCTAGGAAAGAATAAGTAATAGGAAGGCTAGGCCTAGTAATAAAAATGAATTATTTAATATTCATAAAACAATTCTAAAATAATAAAGGTGACAAATAATTCTAAATGCAAATTGTTTGCTTTAGTCTCAAAGTTTTGCTATTTTTTAAAACTGATTTTTTTCCTAGAGCAAGTATTTTATTATGCACCTTAAAAAATGTGAATAGGATAAATAAAACATTCTAGATTCAATTACCTATGTGTAATTTCCAAATAACCCTGTATCTGCCTTTTCTGTGTATTTTTACAGATATGGTCCGGAAAAAGAACCCCCCTCTGAGAAACGTTGCTAGTGACGGCGAGGGCCAGACCCTGGAGCCTATAGGTACAGAAAGCAAGGTATCTGGAAAGAGCAAAGAATTTTCTGCAGATCAGATGTCAGAAAATACAGATCAGAGTGATGCTGCAGAAATAAATAATAAGGAGGAACATAGCTTGCATGTTCAAGATCCATCCTCTAGCACTAAAAAGGACTTAAAAAGTTCAGTCCTGAGTGAGAAGGCTGGCTTTAATTATGAAAGCCCCAGTAAGGGAGGAAACCTTCCCTCCTTTCCACATGATGAGGTGACAGACAGAAATATGTTGGCTTTCTCATCTCCAGCTGCTGGGGGAGTCTGCGAGCCCTTGAAGTCTCCTCAAAGAGCAGAGGCAGATGACCCTCAAGATATGGCTTGCACCCCATCAGGGGACTCATTGGAGACAAAGGAGGATCAGAAGATGTCACCAAAGGCTACCGAGGAAACAGGGCAAGCGCAGAGTATTCAAGCCAATTGTCAAGGTTTGAGCCCCGTTTCAGTGGCCTCAAAAAACCCACAAGTGCCTTCAGATGGGGGTGTAAGAATGAATAAATCCAAAACTGACTTATTGGTGAATGACTTATTGGTGAACCCAGACCCGGCACCTCTGTCTCCAGAGCTTCAGGACTTTAAATGTAATATCTGTGGATATGGTTACTATGGCAATGACCCCACAGATCTGATTAAGCACTTCCGAAAGTATCACTTAGGACTGCATAACCGCACCAGGCAGGATGCTGAGCTGGACAGCAAAATCTTGGCCCTTCATAACATGGTGCAGTTCAGCCATTCCAAAGACTTCCAGAAGGTCAACCGCTCTGTGCTTTCTGGTGTGCTGCAGGACATCAATTCTTCAAGGCCTGTTTTACTAAATGGGACCTATGATGTGCAGGTTTGTGCTTTGTCTTGTGATCTCTTTGTACAGAAAAAAGTAATTAGTATGGAGTGTGAATTCTTACATGCATGTTAAAACCAAGGTTCCAATACCAGACAGGTAGCCTGCTATATCCAGCAGAAAAGGTGGACACACTCCATAGCTATTTCATTCAAATGTGTTTTTAGAGTTGTCTTTTAGCCTCTTATTATGGAAAACCATCTCAACATTTCTACTAGTTTGGGGAAAGTCTTTTTTATGGAATTTAGCTAAGCTTCATATTTCTGGACATATTTCATGGTAATTTGATGTTTTCACAGTCTTCTAAAAATGGCACTAATCTTTACAGTTATACATGATAATAATTCATGCCTTGTTCTAGTTTCAGATTATAAGGCTTTTGCTATAATATTTCCTTCAGTGAGTGTCTATCCTGTGTCTTGGATTAGGATTTGATTTTATACTCATCTCGACTAGATTTGGGTCATACTGACGGTTGCAGAGATACACTTCTGCAAAAGCAAACTAATTGCAACTGAAAATTTGGGAATAGCATTTTACATTGATTAAAAAGAAGTCATTGTGATTGTAAGTACTAGGGACACCAGAATGGCCTTGGTGCAAGCCAATAAAGCATTCCTTTCTGCATTTAAGGAAAATGGCAATAGTTTATGAAAGCATTTTTAGTAATAATTTAGATTTATATTTTTATTAAAACCAGCATACCTTTTTGATCATTTTTTTTTGTCTTTAGTTAATGGCATATGTGAAATGGAAAAAAAAAATAAACCTTAACCATTTTAAATAGAATGAAACATGGAACTTAGTCTAAGGAAATGTATTCTTTTAATTTTAGCAATTGTATCATAGTCGAAACTCATTGTCAGCTTGAGAAAGTGTATTAGTTTTTGTTACAGTCTGTAGATTTTTATTATTAGACCAGGGGATTTCAAAACATATTAGGTTTAATATTAACCTTCTTTAGGAATGATTAGAAGTACCAGAGAACTAATGAAATCTCATCACAATTATTTGACCTACTAAATCCCTTAAAATATCAGTCATTTTTATCAACTCAATAGCTACAGCTCATTTGCCTTAGACCTCCCTATTGACCTAGTGCCAATTAAGAAAGACAAGCAGAGGGGTTATAAATAACAGGTACTGAACATATTTTGCAATACTTGTGAGAAGAATCAGAAGAGAAATTTCCACATCCTTTAAATGTCAGAATGGCAATCTTACCGCTTTAAGGGAGATAAAGAAGAACTCTTAAAAAAGCTAGTTTCATTTTGGTAAAGCTCTCTAAAAATTCCATCTTACTTTATGAATTTCCACAAATAGAATTATTTCTGTGGAGTAGCAAATTAAGCCAACGTAGTTATTATGCATAAAAGCTACATGCTTTGAACTGCTGTCTTATTAAAGATCATTTCACTGTCTTATGTCAGATACACTCTGCTATCAAACTATGATTGGAAAGCAAATACGTGTGTTAGATAAAAGGGTTGGAAGTGAATAATGTCAGTATGTGAAACAGTGTTTTATAATTAGCAAGTAATATGATGTTAATACCTGGATTTCCGGCAGGAGTTTCAGTTTGTTCACTCTGGGGACAACTTCTGAAGGAGGCTGATCTAGGCTGTCAGGAAGGCTCTAAAACGAAGATTACTTAGGCCTATAGTTTGGAAGAATTCAGATTTTTTAAACACACTTCCATTTCCCCCAAACAGTTATTTGTTAGGTTCTTAGTTATTTATAGTAAAGTTTATGTTTGGGTAGAACAAGCTGGACACTTTTCCTGGGCAGTGATTTTAGAAATAAAACAGATGTGTGAGCTATCTGAGTTTGAACTAATACAACTAGAAATAAAACAGCTGATCCTGGACTATGCTGTCTACTAAATCCTTGCAGCACACAGTAAAGAAGGCAAAAAGTGGTAGGAAATAGCACACAGGAAGATAACCTTGTTAAGATCAATTTTTTTTTTCCAAAACAAAATAATATTCCTAAAAATAGAAAAAAAGCAATCTGTGAGAAAAGGGGATGATTATTTCAAAGAAACAACTAGATTTTGAGACAAGCCTAAAGGTTAACTTCAGTTTATGAAGAGAACACTGAATATATGTGTAGGCCCAATGCTAATCTTGAACGCTTTGTACTTACAACTGGATATTGATGCACAGACACGTTGTGAAGATAAGTAATTTATTAATATTTTTATGCTGAAATAAATATTGAACAGCTTCTCTCTATGTGTAAACTGAATAAAAGCACATGTGAAATTTCCTTTTTTACCCACCAGTTTGTGTTGCTGAAATGCTATTTGAGAGATTCTTTCCTTGGCACTTGAACTGTGTGGAGGCTAAAAGCTGTGGGAGATAAATTGCTGACTATAGGGTTTCTTTAATGCGGTTTTGTCAGAAATACATAGTCAGTTAATGGCTTGTGTGTATTCTGCTAAAAAGATAGTTGGTAAATATGTGTATTACAGACAAATGATCATTCAATTTCAGGAATTAATTATATAAATCTATAACCTAAGCTAACCGAAGTAATAGATGAACAATTCATTAATCTTTTTCAATTAAACTGGCCTTTTTTTTTTTTTTTAAACATTCAGAACAGTTGGTGGCTAATGATAGATTTATGACATTTAGGCCAAGAAAAAAGGAACAGAAGCCAGAAGCAAAGGACTTAAAGAATTCTGTGGCTTTGATCTATATTTTGGTTTGACATGGATGGTTTTAAATAATTCGAACCGATTTGAGTGCAAATATGAGAGATACAGTTGGGAAAAAAAAGAAGTACAGTAATTTAAACAAATTCTAATATTTCCAGTTCTAGGTTCAGATTATTTCCCATAGATTTGGAGGCATAACTGAAATTTAGACATACTCATACTGATAATATACACTTCTGTGTAAATTATATCACAAATAACTGAGTCAAAGAATTACCAATTTGTTAAAATAGTGTAAAACAACAATGTTTCTTTGTGCTGCATGGCACATGGAGCCCCAGCAGGATAATGGAAGTCAGTGTAAAAAGCCACCATAAAGCCAGGGCTGTCTTTTCTAAGTCTGTCGAATTCATGAGATTCTCCCCCACACACCTTGAGGTAGCATGCCTAGCCCTGAAATCAGAAGAGATGTCGATTCTTTACGAAGGAAAACAAGAGAAGATATAATGGCTAGCCAAGAGCTAATTGATTTGACCAGGATGTTAGTTTCCCAATTTTTCATTTTCCCTGCATGTTTTATCAATTTGTTATGCTTAAATATTTAAAAATAATGGATGTGGCATGATTCGTAAGCCCTTCATATAATTTTTACTCTCTGTATTCAGCCTTTGAGGTTCACATATAGACCAATAATAAGACAAGAGATGGAGTTCTTAAAAAAGTAATTACAGCTTCTTTCTTTTTATTTCTGCTTTATTAAGCTTATATTTAAACCATCACTGAATGGAGGCCTGCATTAACAACGCGGACTTTGCTGTTTCATTAGGGCTTAATGTGCTATGCATTAGGGCGTTTGCATCATTTTTATGGGGGAGCTTTTAGCTCTTAGATCAGGTTATAAAAGTAGGACTCCTGTCAAGTTGTGCTTCCCACGGGAAAGTGTTTACACTGTCCCAAGTTTATATACTCATGATGTATGTGTTGTCTTTTCATATTAGTGAATCTTTTCTATTACTCTGCATTATTCAAGACTCCAAGGAGGTAGCTACTTGATTCCAGCTATTAAATTTATTTCGACCCTTAATGAAATTCTAAGGTTAATAGAAGAATCACATTATTAACTTACCAGGGTCTATGTTGTATTTGAGCTAGGAGTGCCACATTTCTGTTTTGTAAATATTTTTATCAGAGTTGCACAATATGTCATGTAAGAAGCAGGAAGAACAGATTTTAGAGAGAGGAAGTCATCCTTTGGATTTGTGTTTTTAACATATTTAACTGTATGAGGTTTATAGATCTTCAGAACGTACCAGTACAATCATTTGAACAGAGGATTACAGTTTAGTCTGAAAAAAAAATCGGGGAACATTAATCTCATTGTGGTTTATTTTGACTTGTCTTGGATTTTCCTTCCAAACATTTATTTTTTGCCTTGGCGTTTCCTTTGATCTGGAGTAGGAGGGAAGTTGTAGATCTTAGCAGGTTCTGTTTCTTTGTTTTTCTGAGTTGAGGACAATAGAACTTTAGAAAAAGTGGTGAATGAGACTTTAATCGATTCAGACTGTCTATGTAGAGTACAGAATGTTTGACATATGAACCCATGCTTATTTTCAGGACTGTGTCTCTTTAACAAGTAATAAAGTGTACAAAATAAAACATATGCTCACCCCAAGGCCATAAAGCAAAGCAAAGTTCTGGCATATGCCAGGTTATTTTCATCAGTGGAGATGGCCGAGCTGGATAATGTAGCCACCCGAGTAGAGTAGTTTGACTATCTTAACTAATCCCTTTACCTGCATGACAGTTAAATCTCCATTTGGCTTTGTTACATGAGAGTGGGTACAATAAATGTCAATCCCTCTTTGATTTTAAGTTTATTTGTTATCATTTAAAGAACATGTGTCATTTTGTTGAATATCAGTATTTCTCTCCAGGAAGAATGTTTAGAAGAAGAAATCATGGTTATCGGTGCATCCAATCAAATTTAGCATTATTCAACTCTTAATAAAAGTTTTATCTCTCAAATAGGCCTGCTCTGCTAACCATATCAAGTCGGGAGATTATTCAGTATTTTTTATTCCTTGGGTCATTGTAATAACAGCGTATGTGCAGCTGTTGGAAACACAGATACACAAGTAGTGGGCCAACACTAGCAAAGCTTGGAGAGACAAAGTCATTCCCTTCATTTTCTGATTGCCTTCGTGGACTTTAGTTCTGAGAATCAGTAAAAATCTTGAATTCCTCGTTAGAAGATAGCAAATTTTGAAGCACGTTTTTGGTATTTTCAGACTATCAGACAAATCAAATGTAAAATTTGTTCTTATGTATTACTTTT